CTTTCAAGAAATTCGTTGAAACTGCAGAATATAATGCATATGGCAAACATTCGAATAGTTCCTTCTGAACTATATTTTAAAATATATCACACATCAATGAAAGTATCATGCTGTACATCACGGTCTCACTTAGTTTCTTTTCTTTGCGGTTCAAATTTTCTTTTGTTCCATGACCGAGCGATTCAAAACTTGATGAGTGGTTCTTGAACTACAAAAAGGCAATTGAAGTTGCACAGTCCTAGATGATTTCTGTGAATGTTACGATACCTCTGCCTACCTATTTCATTCGATAAGTTATCATAACATCAGTAGCACTGAGACTTGAATCTTTCTTACTTTTGTTGTTCTAAAATCAGACAAGAGACTGCTCAATTTCAATTGAATTCTGTTGTGTTCTGAACGCTTAGAAGAAAAATTGAATTAAAGTGATAGGCATCTTCACGTTTGCATTCATCAATCCCATGGTATCTCTAATAGAATTATTGTATGGATTCAATACTTTGCCCACTATTTTTCGCTTTTTAAAATACGAATAAGCAAAGCTTCACTTAATGACAAATACGGTCTTCATGTCAGCCCACTGCCGCATCTAATGAGCTTTTGCTGGATTATATTTAAGTACATTTTAACCTCACTAACGAATAGGATCTTTTTTTCAGTTGTGAATTAGTTCGAATAAAGAAACCTGCACTAACAGTAGTAATAACTTTTGATTTTCTGAATCAAATTTAAACAACTTCATAAAAATCAAATTATAACTTTGATGGCAATTGCAATAATTTTCAGATGGAATGTTCTCACAATGGGTACATTAATGTATTTAAGTTACTTGTATTTGTTCGTTGAATTCTTCTACAAAGCGTATATCGTTAAAAAACCACAACAGTCTCAACGGAACACGATTGCTGATGGAGAATTACCGGAGAAGAAAACGTTCTTACCGGCCAACGAAAGGATACAGTTGAAGAAGGATAACTGAACGACTTCTGAAAAAAAACGAAAACATTTAATCAGTTTTGATAGTAGACAAATTACTGATCACTGCATGTAAGATCACTATTGCTTATTGTCATTCAAATTTATTGTCAAATGCCATTCAAATTTATTGTCAAATTCTTTAGAAGTCACTTGATCACAACAATAATAACATGAGAGCTGTTATTTTTGTTAAATTGTTATGAGTTACTATTGTTATGAGCTCGTACTCTCATTAGATCAAGTAACAGCTCTCTGTCATGAGTAACAGCTTTTGAATTTTCAATTTAGCACTTTGTGCTGCTGTCATCTTGTTTCTTAATCCCTTTTTAATTGCATTCCTCTCCTTCTGTCCACTCCGTGCTCATGTAATGTTATATTTCATTTGTAATCTTAAAATTTAATTTACAATTCTCCTCTTAGCCTACTTGTATCTGTAAAATTCCCTCAACAATCCTCTAAACTACAATTATTTAGTGGTGATTCTCATCGGAATTTTTCCAAATGCTGTTTAAATGTCGAAATATCCGAATGCTGTCAGCGTGATTGCTGTTTAAAAAACCATCGCAAAGAAGAAGAGCTTTGTTCAAGTACTGTAAAAGAGTGACGGTGATAATAAAATTAATTGCTTTTCTGATAGCCAATCTGATGTGTAATGCCATCAGGAGGCATTCTTTCATTTTTAAATGCCTTTATGTATTTCTGGAACGCATCGCGCAAACACCGAGAATAACCAAGTCGAACTTTTCCCGTAATTTGTTTATTGACTCCAGAAAAAAATTTGTGGAGCGCAAAAAAATTTTATTGATGTTGCCGAATTTCACTTCAATTGCATTTGTCTGATTACGTCGTATGCACTCGAAATTATTAATTGTGCGCTGTAAGCAATTCTCATAAAATGACATAAAGCGCAAAATTCAGTTTTCACTATTTATTATCAAATGAAATATTGGTGTAATAGCTTTTTAATGGTTCTCTGCAAGAAACAATCAATTTCTAAGTGATTCCTAAGTGGATTCGTCACCTGCTCGAGTAATAAGGACTGACAATGAGAGGATGTTTGACGGAAGAAATTGAAGAGAAATTACAATGAATTCGTTCGGTTATAATGATATTTTCATCTATGAAATCAGCTAAATCGTTAAGTCGCTAAATCGCTAAATCTTCAGTTGTAATCGTACTGAATTTTTCGTTTTATCATTGACGAGGAGATCATTTAGCGAATTACGCAATAAATTGAATTGATTATGTGCTATCTAAACTGATTTCGATAGGAACAAATGAACGATATGAACAATCTCGATATAAACAATGCTAAGCTAATATATGAACAAAACGACTGGCTATGGATGCTGAAGGATCAGTTCGTCGTCGTTGTCTTTATAAATAGCATACTCAAAATATCTGATCTCTTCGAAGGGTTCCTTCCTCGATTAACGACGACGTGTTGCTTGAAGAGTTATCGATCCATGCTACTGAGTTTTCTGTATGCTAACCGTTCAAAATCTAAGCTTCAAGTGAAATTTGAATCGAGTAAAAATTTCAAGTAAAAATTCGAATCTTTTCATTGATAAATGCTATTCAAAGAATGGAATAGGAGTGGACATCATCCTATTAGTATGATTGATCAGATCATTTCAGGACATCAGCAGTTCAAAGAGAGTTATTTTTAGTTTATTATTATCCCTAATGATATCATTTGCATGATTACTACTTTCATTATCATCATTATTATTATTCCTTTCATCATTATTGTAAAAATAATCGTCATTTTTCACGTCAATAAATAATTACTATTCAAAATGCTCATCGATCATCACCTCTGCACAAATTCCCGTTCAGCATAAGCTGCGATTATGATATTGCCTATGCACGCATTAAGCCATGCATAACTTGCAAATAACTGCATCAATCATATACGGTAGAATAGCAAAGTATGCTTTTTACGCATTGCTGAATGTACANGCTTTGCTCTTTGATCAAAGATTCATTTCGATCGGAATATTTTTGCTGAATTCATAAATAATTCGAGTCACATCTTCAAACGTGCCTGTCTTTGAATAGCCCTCATTCACTACGAGACTTTTTTGGTGGGGATGTGAAAAAAAAATCATTCTGGATATAAAGCACAGTTCAAGCTAGGTATCAGTGAAACTCATTGACAATCGAGCAGCGAACGTGGGCGATGGGATGTGTGGAAATAGCGAATCAAAACATAAAGCACGAAACGATTCGATGCCTATAACAATTAACCCATAATAATGGGTTGCTTGTATCGCATTGCCTGTGCGCACGAATGGATACATGATGAAAAGATCTGGCGTGGAGAGGGTTGATTCCAAGTATTGCTTCAAACACACTTCAGTGTTACGAGAAACATTTCATAGCGTGTTGAAAGCAATGTTACACGAAAGCAGTCAATTCGATTCGCATTGTTTTAATAGTTAGTTGAATTGAACTACCTGCGCCAACTAGCAGCTTTCTACAATCTGCATTAATCCAGTTTCTTTTCATTTGCTACTATTTGGTATCGGATAATGGATTTCATCGGACCTTTCCTTGTACGTCGAGCAATTCCAGAAGTTCATTATGGATTTGTGCAGGGAATTTAAATGCTGATCAGTTGCTATCAGAGCGAAAATTATCAGTGTGCTTGATTATCATCCCGATTCTCTATCCAGTGAACAGCTCTGCAATGAGCCATACATAACTGAACTATATGAATCTTTGTTGAATCTGTAATTGAAGATTCTCAGTCTGCTGGAATATTCTTCTCCAGCTGATCAAGCCTTCGTTATTTCTATCATTCTCTTCCATCTTAATTGATTTTCTATGCCACTGGAATCTGATCAAACCTTCGTTATTCTTGGCTCCGAAATGTGGCACATTCGAAACGTTGTAAAGGTTGAGAGATTCAAATGTAAGAAGCAAAAGAAAAACTCGTTAGGTGTTGTTTTGGAATTGAATTCTACAGACCATGAAAATTTGCGCGGAGCGTGTGGCTCGAAGACTACGTCTTGTTACCATGACATCTGAAGTCGCTATATAAACGTACGATATGTGAATCGTATCCTTAATTGTTTTATGGTGATCTGAAATTTATTGTTAAACACATCGGATGACTAGCGAAAATCGCGAATTTTCTGGTCATTTCATGCATTTTCTGTGAGAATATCTCATTAGGCAGTCTCCGTTTCTCCGTGACCACATTTGTAACAGTTCTCTGTATTCGTGTGCTTTTGAGTGCTACGGCCTATTCCATAATTCATGAACTCTTCGAGATCAAGTGCGCCAGAACGGAATAGATCTGTCTGATGTTGATTAAACCTTACTTGTTACTTCAACGATTCATCGAATCCTCACATTATAATATTTCTCAATCAAATAAGAGCAACTGCAAGTCTGAATTATTCACTCAAAGAAGTGAAATGATACATCAAATAACGAGTCGGCAAACCGCAACCCGTGGTCTAAATCCAGCCCTGGGATGGTTTCGCTTAGCCCACCGAACGCTGTCGAGAATAAATGAAATTTTGCCTTTGGCTGTCCTCATTGAGCTTACACCTGTCTTAATCGTCCCGCGATCTATATGAATGATACTTGTATTGTGTGTGCAACTCCAAAATGTTTTGGTATAAGTAATCCAATGATATGCTTCCTCATTTTCCTTCTGATGTGAATTTTGGTATCAAATTGAAGATTTTTCCTCTAGAAGATAAGCAAATCGTGATTGCGAGATTGAGAAAAATGACGAAGAAGCATTATTGAATTGAGTTTAATTCTGTGCTGCAGGGTTGCAGAAGAATTTCTTATATTCATTCAGATCCTTTTTTGAGAATGTTAGCAATGCCAAAATCATCGATTATTCCAACAAAAACTTCAGTTCATTTTTCAAATATATTTTCAGTCGATATCTAAACTTTCTCAAAACGTCATACTCGACAGATGTCTAATTTTCATTCGAAAAATTTTGCCCAAAAATGTTATTTTCATTTCAAATTCCTCATTTTCTCTCCGCAATATTTTTGAAACCATTCCTACAACACAATTGCATGTTTCTTGCTATTTTTATTTTGTTATCGAATTACTCAGACTCAGCTGTTTAATATTGCTTAGCGCCTGGTTGCAGACGGAGTTTCACCCTGACGAAAATCAAATTGAACACAACATCATTGAAAACCTGATTATTGCGTGAAACAATTGCATTTTTGAAAACGTTGCTAAGTTTGCCGAAAAAATGTCATTGTCTCAAAATGCCTTGAACATTCGAAAGCGGATTGAGCATTTCTTATCGCACTCTCTCAGAACCTGTTTAGAGGTGTAGATTTCCAAATGGAGGATAGTACTAATAGGATAGTATTATAGCACTCATTTTGTGTAAAGAAAGAATAGCAAGCCGTAAAAGCGGATTTCAATGCCGTTTAACATTTAGTTGCAGAAATCACTTTGGATGAATGATAAGTACATACAGAGCAGCGATTGGATGGCTTCACAAACAAGCAGCACTTCGAGTGTGGAGACTTTCGAATTAATGGAAAATTGTTATCATTCTATTTAGTGGTCGTTGGGCCCGCTAGCAGTTATACGACTTCAGTGCAGCCCGCAGAAGAAAATATTTGCTGTTGTCTGCACTGAACCATTATCAAGGTACGCAACTCTACGGAGATACGTCGAAGCTGAACGAATCGTTTGTGGCTGTTTGAATGTGACACATTAGTGCAACTAGCCGGTCGTTGAATATCATTGCGATGAACATTTTTATCCATACATAGCTCACATTGGTTATCCACATGAAGTCAAATGATCGAAGGTGCTGCTATCATCAGAATCTGTAGGTACACCAAGTACATCTGTATAGACACATGATGCAATCTCATCGAATTCGAATCGCGCACTCACATTCAGTACTTCCACCATTAGTGGATAGTTGTTTCAGTCAATTTAAATGAACGTGAATGCGGAATACATTTCCGGAAACATCCCACACCGCTCGCGTCCTCGGTC